GAATAAATCTCCGGATAAAAATTGGAGCACTTAATACAAATGGCGGTGGTAGTTATTTGTTTCACAGAATATGATGAGATATAATGGTAGGGCGTAAAATTATGACTACATTATGACGCCCGTGTTTGTATTGTATTTTACTCGTTATACTCGACTAATATAATTATGAAAAATATAGAAATAATGGAACATTTTTGGGTAATTATATTATATAAGAGGTGTAACCATCTTAGCCAGTTAAGGTCCATTTATTCGGCTTCGCCTCACCATTATACCTTGGCAGATTTCTCACTATAATCCTGTATTCACTTTAGATGAAATCAAACACAACAGCGCGTGCTTAGGCACACATGCCGAATATTGAAAATCACTAACAATATTAATGTAATATAAATCTATTCACACATATAAGCAATTCATGGTTAAAAAGCACAGCCAGCAAGGACAAATTGGCATATGCGATGTTTGATGTAACGACGTTACATAAGTCACAGTGAACACATCTATGAAGAAAGTGTTGGTACATAATGTATATATTAGTACAACATATATTCACATTAATCTACTACGGCTAATTTAAAAAAACCTCTTTAATCACATGGTTTAAGTGATAAAAAGGAAATCATGAATTTATGTTGATACTCAATTATAGCCCATAATGTTGTTTTAATATCTATTCCCACATTGTAATATATGCAGAACACCTCCCACTGGTTAATATGATCATCATTTGATATACTAGTAATAATATCAGTTGCCATGGCAACAAATTATGAAACATTGGAGTACTGACGCTGGCATACACTTGACAAAAACACGATTGTGGTTTCTAGTAAATAATCAAATTTAATTCACATTGTTGTAATCACTCAAGACTATTTTCATGTTTTGAAATGTCTTATTTTATTTTAAGAGGTTCTTTTAGATTTTAGAGTTTGTTAATATTATTTCTCATTAATAATGGTAAGTGTAAGGATACTAGTATCTGCAGTGTGAATGAAGTAATATAAGTAATATTACATGACTTCGCCCTGAAAATTGGTATGTTGCGAACATTAAAACATTACAACAAAATTTGAACAAGTTCATTTATAAGAACTGAAGAATAATTCACATCAATTAAAAATATTATATTGGTATTAAATATATGTACAATTCATTAATACCAGATATAGACAGTTATACATGCAATATTAAACAAGAAAGTAACCAAGTACAGCGAAAGGCACAAACATATTTATAATAATCAATAGTAAAAGTCGATCATCAAATTCCATTCAAATTCAAATATTCAATAGCGATTGGCACGCTAAATGCTTGCGCATGCCTTCACGTGGCGTAGCAGCTACAACCGCCCACATATTCAAATTTGGTCATTGGTCAATTTGAATTCTAACAACCATTTTGATTTATAAACACGTGTTATGAAAAGTTTATAAGGACCACAGCTCTATACCCTTTACTGTATGGGAACATTTTCAAAATTTCACTAAAACAACTAACCGTACTATAACTTACGTTTGTTGGCGTTTTAATTACGTATTTCTTGCACAGGAAATGATAAAAAATGTTATATAAACGACATTTATGATTTGAAATTTGACGTAGCTGGTAGAGAATTAGATATTTAATTTAAAGGTAACTCGCCATTGAAAAGTAGGGAAGAATTAATGGTTGAACTTTTCTATACTTGTAGATAATTTGAAAAACGACACATATTTTTAAAAACATTTATGTATCCCAATTCTCTTGTACAAATATACCTTTTATTAATAATAATTGAAAAATTGGATTTAGAATACATATATAATTCAAAGTGAAAGCTATATATTCAGGTTCTCGTGCAGTATTATATTCAAACAGTTTGGGCGTCACACTGGTGGTACATGTTTAAACATGACATTCACACGAGTATTTTTATTGGGCGTTGTGTCAGTTTCGGTTCCTTGTTTGTTTCAAGCATAAATAGCTTCTCCATTACTATTCAGTTGATGTGTACTACCACTACAGCAAGAATCAAGCGGAATGACCTAGTTATTTCATGCTATAATATACTGGTTACAACCCTTTTACATGCCCACACTCCAGTACAGTGTGAAAGCTTTCCAGAAAGCATATGTTAGTTTGAATCTCCCTGACTGACCCATGAAAATCAGAAGAATGACATGTTTGCATAATAAACTAGTGTGTATTTTGTCGTAGCTTATAATTAAAGTGGCTATAACACTCCAAATAAATTGTTTTGCGGAAGTGTGTTCGATATAGTAAACCACACTGAAATCCAATCATCATATATGAATATAAAATTATTCTTTTCATTATTATGTACAACCTGTTACGCTGTTTCTGCTACTTTCTGAACCAGCACATACGGCACAGAATCCCTTTGGTTGTAGAAGAATTTCATAAAAAATTAAAAAATTAAATTCAAGTTTAGCTTAGCTAATCAACGTAGATCGGGCATATAGTGTTACATAATAGTATATACAATTAGAACGACTATTTCTAATTAAGAATTACAAAAATATGTCTATAAAAAAATGATATATGTTTTATATATTTAAAGATGTATTGCAATCACGAAGACTATATGCTAGGACATTTATCATTGTTATCTTAAAACAAGTATAGTTATGCGCATGTGTTGTTCACATGACAACCAATTTCTGGAGTAGATTTAAAAACCCTGTCCACAGTTAGACTTTAGTCACTACTTTCAGTGAATGTATTACTTCGATGTCATGTACACATATATATATACTAATGTGAAACAATACGTCACGCTTCTAATGGGTTTTTTTTACTTGAAGGGATTATCACGAAAAAATAAAATAACTTAAGAACTGTGCATTATATAAGAAAACTCGTATTCAATCAAGAGTGATCATTTAAAGTTGAAAAGTAGACAAAACAATTATTTCACTATAGGATTATATATATACATATTCACACATGTCGAGATAAATTATATTATAACAGCATTTCAATTGCCTGAATACGTCGGTCTGATTGGTTGAGCTGGTGTTCGCTGGTTTAGCATGGTTTTTCACGTTAGGTGTTAGTCTTAAACGTGAACGTGGAGATGAATTTTGCTTTCAAATACAATCAACAAAAAAAGTTTTTTTTCACATTGAACGTAATAAAGGCAATGCGAACCGTGGGTGTTTGGGGTTTATATGACATGCAGAATTATGCAAACGATGCAAACATTGCCGTCTCCAGTAGCTCGCATGTGAAGGTATGTTTGTCGACCTTAAAAACGGCACCAATTGCAGTGTTTGTATTCTTTTTAATTCTGTCAACTGAGAAGATTTTACACATATCAACGTTGCCAAGAGCTCCTCGAATAAACCTTGAAACGCCGGAATAGGGACCGAATTTGTTTCCCATTCGATGTGTTTATACAACTATCTTTGTATGCTAGTTCCAGTGCCGATTTTATTACGACGAATTAAAGTAGAAAGTTTTAGGTGCTGTATCTCTTTTGCTTTAAAGCTATTTCCATGTTCCAGAACAAAGTTTTAAATAAGTTGGCTTACAACCGTGTGTAAGCCTTCCTCATAAAACTTTTAGAGTTTTCTCACACTATTTTTCAACATAGTTCCCTATAAGTTCAATGCACTATTTTCATCGATGTTACAGTTTTCCTATTCCCTGCTAGAATAAGGTTTCTTCTTGATCCTTTAGATAGGCCTCAAAAGCTTGGATAACGTCATCATCAATCTCAAAATGGTGACCACGCAAGAGAGCCTTCAGTTTAGGAAACAGGTAGAAGTCCGACAGTGCCAGGTGGTCAGGTGAGCAGGAAGGGTAAGAGCCATATTTGGTTGATGCTGCCACTGCCACCTGTGCTGTGTGGACAGGTACAATGTTCTGGAGCATCAGCACACCAGCTCGAAGCTTTCCTCTTCTTTTCTCTTTGAATGCTGCTCTTAACTGTCGCAGTTCTGAAGCATAGTACTCTCCGTTGATTGTTTAACTCTTTTGCAAGTAGTCAATCATGATGGCTCCTTTGCTGTTCCAGAACACAGAGGCCATCACCTTGACGACAGATGCCACTCGCTTGAACTTCTTGTTGACTGTGAACCCTCGTGTGTCCATTGTTTGCTCTGTTGTTTTGATTCTGGATCAAAGTAGTGAACCCATGTCTCATATTGGGTCACAAATCACTCGAAGTTGCCAGGATTTGACTGGAAACGGGCCAAAAGCGTCCTTGAAACTCCCAACCTGTTCAACTTTTGATGTGGGTTAACAGTCGGGACACCCACCTTGCAGACAGCTTGCTCATCCCCAAGATGTTCGACAAAACATTTTGAACTGCGCCATAACTGATGCCTAGGGAATGCACGATATGTCGGATAGTGACACGTCTGTCATTCATTACCATGCGATGAATGGTCTCAACCTGATTGTCCGTGGTGGTAGATTTTGGGCCTCCAGACCTTGGGTCATCTTTCGTGCTCTCCTTGCCTCGCTTTGAATTAGCAACCCACTACTTTAGAGTGGAATAAGAATGGTCCTCACCAAGTGTCGTGACGATGTTTTTGTGGATTTCTTTGGGAGTCATCCCCTTTTTATAGAGATACTTGATCACAGCACGAGCTTCTGTCTGGTCCATTTTGTGATTATCTTCTCATCTGCTGATTTTAATTAAACACCACGTGCTAATTAATGAATACCTAAATTTGCATTTTTCAGGTAGTGACTTAAGACATTATAGTATAAAGTTATACCCCAGAATAGGAGTTCCGCCCCTTGTCCCATGGTAAGGCCGAGAACTTATTGATCATCCCTCGTATATGTTTAAAATTTCGTGGTATACCCACCTTCAGCGGTGGTTTGCTGTCTCAATGTACAGTAATACATATGTGTTTATAATGTACTGCATTATGTATACAAGCCACACATTCAGTTAAATGCGCACGACTGCTTCCGTAAAATAGACGAAGACATAAAATCAATTAAAATTACATTAAAAACTGTTTTAAACTCAGCTTAATTTATTTTTGGTTTAGATTGATCGCGTTAGGTTCTTGTACCGTAGCCCTAGTTTGTAATGTGTTGGGTTCTTGTGAGGACTTGGACGTTTTTGGGACTATTTTGTTACCCTTCAGGCACTTTTCAAGACATGGGAACATTCGGTAAAACTCTTTGCGAAAGTTTTCATTGAAATAGGCGTACAAGCATGGATTGGTCCAACTGTTGCTATTATAACTGAACGCTTCAATGTGTCGCATTACCCATGCTCCCTTTTTCATACCCATCGGAATATCTTCATAGTCAGTGAAATTCCAGTACAGAAGTAAAATGTAGTGCGGTAACCATGACAGTGCAAATGATAGAACGACCAGCATAAGCATTTTGATTGCTTTGCGTTTGTTGCGGTTTGATAAATTTGTCGGCCCTTTCTTCCTTAGGGATACTATCATTGCGATGTATAGCCCTGTCATGATGATCAATGGGATGAGATACATCACTAAGAAATCAACCAGATGGAAAAGTCGACTGAGTTCTGCCTTCCATCCATAGGGGACATAACAGGCCAGTATGGTGACATTGTACCAGGTGAAAGGAACCACATCCAATAGCGCTGGTTTTCTGGCTGAGTACCCCAACGATGCTATCCAAACCACTGATATGATTCCGGCAGCGTGCGATCGCGTCAGTTTCGGCTCCAAGGGCGTCACGATAGCTCTGTATCGATCAATTGCAATGCCGACGAGCGAAAATACCGAGGCACAACGTGACGTCCACTGAAGCCAAGCAAATGTGCGGCAAAAAAATATACTGCTATTCAAAGAGTCAAACAGTCTTGGTACATGATAATAAAACAGTTCGTGAGGAATCTGAAACATTGCCACCAAAAGGTCGGCAAGTGATAGAGATATTATGAACATGTTCGTCGAGGAGTTGCGCAACTTTGGTTGTCTAAACACAGCAACAATCACCCAGATGTTCCCAATAACAATCAGAACAAAAAACAAACAATAAACAAATCTCCATAGTTGTCTGGCACGTCGATAATCCGTTGAGTCTGGTAGAATTCATATGAGGCACTGATATTTATTAAGTCATCCATAGTTAATCCTGGAACAAGAAAGGCAGGATTTAGATTAAAATACACCCTCTGTATTTACACCAACAAAATGTTACCAATATGTATGAGTTTACAATGGCTTGTTCACTTAGAATTGATTCAAATAGAATTAGAATTAGTTCTTCCAATGGCTCAGGTATCAAAAAATGTCTATTGTAACTAAATATGAAATATCATTTACTTACCTGCTCATCAACTCTGTGTGTGTAGTATATAAATTCTTCGATATAATAGATGGTTCGTATTAAATTCTGAAGCAAAAAATAAAACCGTGATAAGTCTTTGCAGTACAAGGCACATATGCATGTGTATAACATATCCTGATTGAAACAGATTTCATTGCTCTTGTTAAAGGAGGCGATACGTGAGTACAATTTCTGCAACGGGGTTGAATGTACTATGATGACTTTATTTCTATACAAATGCCATCTTAGGGTACATGTATAGTAAACCAACAAAATGCATTACGTAGAGTAATATTATCATTATTAACATCATGTGTAACTAAAAGTAAAACTCAATGACAGAGATGTGTGTATGGTGTAATTTAGTCTTTGTTTATTCCGTATTCTGTATTATTATATTATATTGTATTATATTATAATATTTTGTTAAATATTTGGTCAATACAATACTGCAATTGCATATATTTATGAAGTTTTCCAGTCTTTCGACTTTCTTTTATATATTACATTCGTTATTATATATATAACATTCGTTAAACAAGAAATAAAACAATCTAAAACGAATGAACTTCATTCCCGACTACTACGAATAGAAGTGGGTCAAAGTGGTTCCTACAAATGCGGTACCACTAACATTTCATGAATACTAGACAGAAATCTCAAAATATCGTATATAGCTTGTAACCGCTTCATACAATGTGTGGAAATTTATGCCTTCACTTCCATGGTTGTCTTGCCAACACCATGCTTTTGAAAACATTAACATGTAATAGCTATGCTACAAACTCCGTAAAATGAATAATTGTGAAAGTATTTAGTGAAAGGTAGTCTAATAATGTTTATATCGGTATGCATGATACAAATGGGTCGTGAAAAATGCAGTATTTTATGGATATATAAGTGTATATATGGCATTGCATTTGATAGACCAGTATTAATAACGCAATGTTTCTCTTCGGTAACAGTTCTTCTTAGCGATGTGCCAAAGACTATATGTTGGGAGAGATTCCATAAACATACATATGATGCAACATATCATTACGCGTCCTTGCACATTGCGTGTTAATACAAGAAACTTGTGCATCGTCAGTTTCTAAGAGTTTATTGTCGGCATGAAAAGAACATTTCAAACGCCCACACACAGACTAGATATATAACTTGTATATGTTGATGAAAGTATCTGAAGTCGAACGTAGGATGTACTTTGCTGAGTCTTGGCTATGAACAGGAAATGAGAAACTCCGGGGTTGCGTCGCTTAAGCAATCACGCACTGTCATTTCACCATGCATTGGCGGTACTTTGTTATCTAGTCACTGTGCATCCAGTATGTCATTTTAAAGTGAAGACATTTCCACATCAGTTAGTTAGGCACTGGAAAGCGCGTGTACTTCACAATACAATAATATTTGGTAAATGTAATATATCGTTTAGACATACAACTCCCCTGTTTGGCTGTAAAGGACTGCCTTAAAATGATTAACGTACTGCAGTATTCTTAAAACCCATGCCTGTTATATCTACTATAAAGAATGAAAGCATATTACCCTGGGCTAACTGATCTGCACGCTTATTAGGTTTACCGCGTATAGACGTCGGTAATCTCGTATATTTTCGTCTTGCCCTTTAGCTGATAGTTGAGTGAATACGGGTATTGTAAAGGCTGATATAGTAAAACTAGTGATTTATTTTGAATATTGCATTTTGATAGTTTCAACAGTAAATTCGAAGACATCGACATGAATCCAAGTGTTCATAACATGTTGCTGTGTGCAACGAGCAAATGGGCCCCAACAACATTGTGTGATTTGCATAACAGCATGTAAGACATAGACCGACTGATATCACATTCTGTACAGTTGGTTAAATCTCATCAAATTTCTGTTTAATCAAGCATTATTTTTAAAAAAAAAAATTATTATTTCAAAATCACCATTATTTTTCCTCAAGTAGTGCAAGGCAAATGGAAAAAGAAATTGACTTGTAATGAAAATATAAAGGGCTCCGCATTAGCGACAACGCACACATATCCTCTGCAATAACTCTAAACGATATGTCTGCAAATAAGTGGTAAGTAAATAAGTTTGAACGGCGAACGTTTTAAAACAAGCGTAATGTCCGTGATCGACACTCTCAAAATATTCTTTGGCGAGTGACTTAAATGGAAGTAACAGCACACTCAAATACAAATTATCAAACTTGTTTTGGGACCTGCATAAACTTTTAGTGTCGAACAGAAGTAATCGACAATGCTCCAGAAATCAAAGATAATTAATTGGAGAAAAAAAATACTTGCTAGACTGGTATAACTTAAGTATACAAAAATGTATACATGACCTATGGTAGGACAGGTGTAAAATTAGTATAGTACATTTACGTTGCTTAATGTTTGTTGAGGAGCGGACCAAATGATAATAATATGTATTGCATCTCACAAATGAGAGTTACGTAATACGCGATAGTGTTGTGCAATTTGTATACAAATACGTCACGGTTTATTCGGAGATTCGTTTAATATATATTGCCTTTGTTTGTGCGATTAATCAAGTTGGGCATTCATGACAAGGTCAAGGTCAAGTTCAATTGAGCATTGCAAATAGCAATTGCAATTCGCCATGTTTTTATATTGAGTACGACGGAACATAAGTGACGTTGCAACGATTACTGAATATAACTGCCCGAAAATTATTCAAATGCAACAAATAATGGATAAAGATTCTTTATGGTTAAAATGATGGACAAATCCAAGAATGAAGTCAGTAAGCCTTCAAGGTGAAAAAGAATTATTGAATCTGCGATGCTTAGATAAATCGTGAGTTTAGAAATCCAGATATCTTACTATCAAAAAATGCAATAAATCAAAATAACATTCTGTAGACATTCGCATTACACTGGTTTGAAAAGGGAGCTGATGCTCAGTATACACTGCATATGTCTAACCAGTGAAACATATATACCACTCCGCTGTAATACAACTCAGCCGGTTATATAGCTTTATCATACCATGAAAGGCTGATATATTAGATAAAATATTACTCTCATGAAAATGTACGTGAATAGTTAAATAAATCGGCATAAATTAACACAAGTTAAGGTGTATTGTGTGTAAACAATCCGTTCTCATTTTTCTAGCTTGTGACCGTGTCTGCCAGATACTGAAAGTATGCAATGAGAGTTAGCGTGCTGTTTATTCAGCATCAATATCTTGATCAGCAGTAATGACTAAGCGCATTCGTTTCATATGAAAAACTTTACGACAAAAACAGTGTTCACACTATTGTTATAATTGTGTTGATTAAGCAGTTTACAACAATTTTGTCTACAACCGATATAAATTATATCTACAAATAAATGTTCATTGGCTAATGTTACCCATGCATATAAATATATCTAAATAGTAGCTATGTCGAATTTACTTGAAAAACGCGATTGTTGATGATGTCAGACATAAGTCATACAGAGTGTTAGCATGATTTTGCACACAACAATCATGGATATGTTAATTATGCTATGCATTAGATCGTTTGCCGTGTGTTTGTTTGTCTGGAAAAGATATTAACAACCTCTATTAGTCATACTCTAGTGTTATGTGTATGCGATAATGGTACTTATAGTCTACACATTCATTTCGACTCAGTCACAAAGAACTATTATTATTGCTAGTTCTTGTAGGGGCAGCAGGTGTCACAATAGAGAAATCGGGAAAAAAGTGCTTGCAGATATACTTGATTTCCTTTCACAACGAAACAACCAAGGTAATTGCGTTGATTTTTTGCTTAAAATCGGTTTAATTTTTACTGTTTAATTACATAATGCTAGTTATTGAATCACGATATCGTATCAGCGATGCAGAAAACCCGGGGCTGTTTCATGGACGGATACGGATAGTAAAGCATAAAGACACGTCTCAGCTTATGTATAATGGTTGATGTCGGTTTCACTTAAAAGGTATATATATTACATGTTACACGTAATACCATATCTTGAAGTCAAACTTAAAGCTTTTAAAGATAACACGTAATCATCTACACGCTGGGATGTCTCAAAGTCACTCATATTTCGAAGGGTTCATATGGCGCTAGTCAAGAAGAGACAAGCTGTATCTCCGGTTATAGCCACTAGCGCAAGACGTTTTAAGTTCTTCCAGGAAATGCAGCACTTTCTGAAAATACTTTTAATGAGTTGTTGTGACGAGCGTTTGTAACTGTCATATTATATTTTTATTGTATGATGATGAATATTTTCCTTGCGGCATTTGGAGAAAGTATTCACAGTGCAGAGCAAACGACTGAATGACAGTCTTACGAATTACTACACTCATTAACTGTAATATTTAACGAATTTGACATGTGACTGTTATAACAACACTGAACAGTCAATAAACATTTTCTGACTTGCCAAAGAAAAACATATATTGGTAAATTTTGAAACTTAAGTATTTACGTATGATAGATATAAATCGTTTGAGTTACGTCTGTATATATTTGACTATGATCGTTTAATATAGACGGAAGATTGAAGATGAAAGAACGTTTTGCTAGGCGCCCATGATGAAACAAACTTGGACATAGCACTAGAACAAGCGACAGTGTAACTGTTTATGTTGTCTTTGCGGGGATATTCACAGGTCTGGATTGATATCATTAAAATCATTAAGAACGATTTGTTAATGATTGATTTCTCTACTTTGTTTCGCTGTACAATTATTGACATAATCGAACCATGTATGTCTTGGAATACGTTATTTATGAGTAATTGTTCCAACGAAATGTCTATGTGAACACATTTGTCAAATTAATTCGCTCAGAAACGACGACCACATACCAAATTTGAACGAATGTTTTTTCATCTTGTAAAAATTATACGTATTATTTTATTCGAGGTAATATGTTTCTTGTTATCTCTCTTTAGATAAATGATAACATCAATGGAACTGGCACCTTACCTTTGATTTGAATATCTAATTTTTTAGCTGCGGAGGCGATATTTTAATGTTGCGCACAAAATTATTCTTTTTATTTAACGATTGCCAAGACATCTACAATAACTATATATATTGCCGTTACTT